TCTTGGTATATCAAGCAAACCCATCAAGGACTGTATCCATCACATACACCTGGAAACACCAGAGCACATTATGGAAGTGTGGAAGTAAATGTTTCAGAAATACCACAATTTCTATCTATAGATCTCCAAAAATAGAAAACACTTGTTTAACCTTGTTTTAAGACAGAAATGATTCCTAGTCAACTACAGTTCATTGTACCATGGAAATAATCTCTGTATTAATTACAAAAAAAAAAAAAAATCTCAAAAGAACTAGAGAAAAAAGGGGGGGAGGTGGGCTGTGGATGATGAGAATGTCCATATCCACAGCTGCATTAGACAGGATAAAAGCATTTAGAAGCAATATTAAACCCCTGTGCTGCAGGACCCAGATTAAAGTGCTGGCTGCTGAGGGTTGGGGGCTGGTTTCCCTGCTGAGCAGACCATGCCAGAGTTTTCCAACAGTGCCCAGAGCTGGGCCCCATCAGGCAGCGCTTGGAAGGGGACAGCCCAGGGCTGATACAAACCTGGTCTTCTTCACAGTCAAAAATATGGGAAAACCACTCATATTAACACTGTGATAAAGAAACAAGACCACAGTATCCATCCTGTGGAAAGAGAGCAGTGGTTGTTGGGAAAGGGGCTGGGCTGAACTCTGAAAAAAGCACTAAAACTTTTTTTGCTGGATATTAATGTAACATAAATTATTTAAGATCTAATCATGCTATGGCCTGGATCCTGACCTTGTTATTGTGGAACTAGGAGCTGTCATTTAATTAACCTTGTACTGCAGAGCTCTTGCTAAAACCAGAACTGAAGTGCTGTGCCTAGGAAGGCTGAATGAAGAAATGGGTTCATTTCACCCCACTGACCTCTAAAACATAGTTACTTCCCATTGGATAGAATAGACTGAACTAATCTTAAAACATATTTTAAAATACTTTTTATCCTGTAAGACCTACCATTCTATACCTTACCATAGGTTAAGATGGAAGATGAGATATTTAACTATTTCATTGGTTTCTGAAGGAAGTTAAAATACATTTTTTTTCTAGATATGACATGTCCAAATCTTTCCCCTGCAGAAATTCCATTAACTAAACTTTAAGCTCTGCTTCAGATGAGATTTGAAGAGATGTTTGCCTTAACCTCCTTGGGATTGCTGACAACCCTTTATTTGCCTTTTGCAACTTCAAATGGGTCGTTTTTAATGCAGAACTACCATGATTTCCACTTTGGGGTGCCCTGATTCGGTTTGGATGCAGTAACAGGAACAAATGGAAGTGCTGATTTGCATGTGAAGCTGGAGATAGGTTTTAGAAAAGCTGCTCTGGCGAGGGCAGCACCGCGGCGTGCTCAGCACCGGATCACATTAATCACAGGGTACTCAGTGAACCTATTCAGCCTCCTACAGAAAATACAGAAGTACATTTTTAGCAGGCAAAGCAAAGAACTATGAGTATCCTTGTGACAGTCTACAGATTTCTCAGGGCTCTCTGGAAAGAAACTTGGACTTCTGCCACCTGCTCCGATTGTGTTCATGCATAAATGATCCAGAGAATGGGTTGACATTACCTCTAATTAGGGGTAATAACAGCCTGCTGCTGAAAGGGCCCGTTCCCTTTCTCTTGCACGTCCATCCCTCACTTCTCCTGCTTTCCTTCGTGGAGCCATGAGGCAAGTCAGTTCAGTGACCTGATCCAGCAGAAAACTCAGCCATTAAGAAAAAAAATATATGTGTTTCTTTCATTAGGTCAGTTCAGTGAAGCTCAGTAGCCATTTGAGTGCGATCCTCAGGCTGGAGAGGGGTGAGATGAAGGGAGAGGGCAGGACTACACCCTTATGGTGGCCTTCTGCAATTGCACGGGTCACAGGTGACAGCAGAGCCCGGCTCTGAGCCCCAGCGTGGCTTCAGGACTCACTGACACATTTCTAAGAGTTAATTAAGCATGGCTGACTCTTAGTTTCAGCTAACTCTGGAGTGGCAGTGTAGAGGTGTGTAATAATGAGTAATAGAGTTGGGAATAAAATCATGTGTCCTGTTTAGTTTGTACCTCAGAATGGAGCTGTGAAATGGAACAGAAAGGGGAGAAAGGGTGCACTGCTACAGTCCTTGACCCTTAATTTGTGTTTTCCAGTTTAACAAACCGATTTTTAAATTTCATATAGGAAAGGAAATGGTCGTTTCAAAGCTACAGCACTGGGGCTTGAAGCTTAGAATGACACATGGGTTTGGTTTGAAAAAGGAGATGAGGTGAGGTTTCTTTGCTGATTTTGTAGGTCCTTTTCCATACTGTTTCTTTGAATGTAATATGAACCCAGCAGTACATCAGTGTGCAGTGCTGTTGTATCTTTCAAAACCCTTCCCAATAAACAGGAAAAAGAGTGATGGACAGAAAAATAGTGGAACAGTGGGTTCAGAGAGCCTATTTTAATACAATTATTTAGAAAGACATTTGAAGTCCTCAGATTATGTCTCTTTGCAGGTGTTCTGGTTTTTTTTTCTTTAGAGAAATCTGTTTTTAGGGAACAGGTCAAGACCCAGGTGTTATTAGTGCAATAGTACTGGCCCATGATGTAACAGTTCAACCATAATTTTGTGCAGAAACAAGAAGAAATAGTGAAATATCCATGTTGTTTATGTACATGTACAGAAACATGCCATGGCTTATGAGCAGCAGTGTAAAATATTTTTAAGTTCATGATTCTATGGGAACTAAATGACAGAGACTTAAATGTTTGTTTGAGATGTGGAGTTTTATGTTACTGTTTTTTGATAGTTATCATGTCTCCCAAGAAAAAGTCGTAAAGAAATCACAATCAGTTTGTTACTCATTGCTTTGCCATGTGGTGCTCAGACAGCCTCAGGCACCAGTGGGAAACACAGAAAATGCTGGTTGTGGGATGAGGTCTTCTTGGGGGTTTTGTTTGTTTGTTTGTTTGTTTATTTGTTTTTTAAGAATTAAAGCACACCAAAGAAACAGTAGTATTTTATAATCCTAGAATCATTCTGGTTGGAAAAATCCTTTAAGATCATGAGTCCAACCACAAAACTAATGGTGCCAAATCCACCCCTACACAGCAGTACTGTCACCCACAAAGGAGAAAGAAGGTGGCCAACACTCCATGGAATCAGTGATACAAGAGCAAAGGCTTGTTCTTCTACAGAGGTGTTTTAAAGCCTCTGTAGATAAAAATCTCACCCAAAGTTGTTTATAACAAGAAGATGACTGTGTTTATTTCCTGAGAAGGGAAGGAGATCAAATCTAGGTGGTAATAAACGCTAGTTTCAGAATGTCTCTGAAGACTTCAAATCGTTAAGACTGTTCTTCTTGGATGCTTCAACTACATCTTTTTAAAAAGAATGCCTTGTAAATGAAAAGCATCCAGTGACCTTGTTGGTACAGATTGTTCTTTTCTGTGCTTTAGTAAATGAACGACCTTGCAAATCAAAAAGGTGTGAAGAGAGGAACAGAGCAAAAATGTTAACGACAGTCTGCACGGTTTTAAATGTCAAGGCAATACAAAATAACCAGTGCTTTTGGTCGCTAATGGAACTAGCATGTGACCACCCATGTGCCTGTAAATAGTCCAGTATTATTTCTATTGTTCGAATTGTATTTTTCTTACTGGAAATCGATAGCAACAGGTTTGTTTCTGACTCCTGACCCACAAATTTGATATGGCTCAAGCACTGTATGACCTCACCTTTTCAGGAATAATCTTCATAACTGTGCCATGTGTTAGCTGGGGAGTTCTGCTCTACACCTCACTTTTCCCTCTGTAAAACAGAGAAAAAATAAATTGGGCTTTAAAGGGTTTATGTGAACGTGGTAATAAAACATCTTTCAACACTAGCATGTGTATCTGTTGAAATGTTCTGCTTAATCAACCTTATCAACCACTTGCTGATAAAAACGGGTTTATCAGGAGCTCTGGGCCTACAAAATGTGAAGACCTGAACTACGTGACAAAGGATTAGGTGGATCAGTGTTAACTGGAAGTGAGGGTGGACCCTCACCCCAGGACATACATAGGTTAAATGTTTCAGCTTTTCAGGAGGGGAGTCTGCAGCAGGAAGGGGTTGAGACCCGGCTTTGTGGTTGTTCTGAGGGGAGGACACCCCGTCCTGTCTGCCCCGAGCACAGGGGCCCCACAGGGGGCTGGGGGGCACGAACCCCCCGGGAGCCACAGATTTAATTCTGCTACTCAGATTCAACTCCAGCTTCAACCGAGCTGCTCACCGGGAGAACGCACCCGGGGCTCCAGCCGGGGCTTGGTGCGGGGGTTCGACCGTACAGACCCGCTGAGGGACCGCGGCTTCCTCAGGGGCAGGGGCCCCTCACGGGCAGAAGCCGGGGCTCCTCAAGGGGGGGCTCCCTCAAGGGCAGGGCCGGGGGTCCCTCAGGGGCAGGGGCGGTGCCCCCTCCCCGTGGCGCCCCCTGGCGGCCGCAGCGCACAGCGCCCCCGGCGCGCGCCGCCCGCCCTCAGTGTGTCCCTCGAGGCTGCCGGGAAGCGGCGGCGCGGGGCGGGGCCGGCTCCTTCCGCGCGGGCCAATGAGATGGCGGCGGGGCGGGCCCGAAGGGCGTGGCCAGACGCACCACCCAATGGTGGG